AATGTGATCTGGATCGGCTTGATGGTGATGATCTCCGGTTGTCGGTGGTCGGATGCAGTCTGTGATCCGAAGATGCGAGCCCCGGGGCTTGAGTGGCGAAGTGTCTGCTGCACTAGAGGTGATGCTGGGACGGGAATGTTCCATTGGCGAGCGACGGTCCTGGCTCTGCAAGGTGGTGTTTGTCCAGAGGAGAATCGACCATTTGTCCTTGAGATTTGGGGATTTTATAAGATTTTCCCCGAATATCACCTTTTTAATTGGTCCCATTCACCCTCTCCCTTACTCCGATTGGTCATTCTTTTGTTTCTCGGTAAAACCTGAGACTGATTTTGGTTGGGAAAAGGTCAGAGAGGTGATAATGGAGTTTTTAAAGTCTGCGCTCGTATTTTTCTCTGTTATGGCCCTTTCCTTTGACATCTTTTATGCCTAAACAGTTCACCAGATGTTCTTGTGGCCATTTACCCCCTAACGTGTTTGGGCTGAACAGATGTCCTTTTAGTCATTAAATTCCCCCTTTTTTCGATTGTTTCGACCTGACACTTGTTCGCGAGCATCTTGACAAATATCTCTCTCTCTCTCTCTCTCAGTGGCGTAGCGTGGCGAACCAAAAGAATAAGATGTCAAATATTATCAGTATAATAAACAGTAAAAATTCACCCAGGGACCAATTTAAGATCACTGGTATCGTATATAGAATGTCATGTACAGTACATGTGGAAGTCCAAATTATTACATTGGAGAAACCAGAAGAAGATTGGAGTTGCGAATAAAGGAACATGAGGCCGCCGTTAGACTGAGAAGAATGGAATCAGCATGGTTTTTACATTGTAGAGAATTTAATTGTAATATAAATACTAAAATATTGTATAAAATAGAAAATAATTTAGAAAGAAAAATTGTAGAACATTTTTGTATCGCCGAACATGCAAATGTACTTAATTTGAATGCTGGAATGATTCTTGATGCATGCTGGGAACGACTGTTGGGTATAAAGTGTAATCAGCAATTGATATCTTGATGTATCCATTGAGGAGGCCTGATGGCAAAATGCATTTGGATCGTATTAATAAAATAATGATTGTTCCTTGCCATTTATTTGTCGTTTTTTGGCTCATAAAATCCTCAAAGTTGGAAATAGAAAGAGTATAATTTTACTTGTTTTTAACTAAAACTTTTTATTTTTAGTGTGTTTGAAATGTAAAATTATCACATGTTGGTATAACAGATTCCGAATAAATTTTAACGGAAAATAACAATCCATTTCATTGATTACTATTAATAATTGCTTCATTAATTTCATCACGATCTGACGCAGCTTCCATTTGAATAATTGTATTAATTACTTCATTCTTTTCGACCAGTTGGTTTGCGACAATTGTTGCAATCATAATTTTAACTTCGTCCACCATTTTGTCCAGCTGTCTAACTAAGAATAATTGTTCAATGATGCTTGGAACATTCTTAGCTCCACCCACTAAGCCACTCAGAATTCTAACTTAGGTGTTCTGCATTACTGAACACAGCCCAGGTAAAATTATAGCAAAATGTTATGCTGTAAAGCCTATATCTTTCCTATTGTCGATTACTATGGCCAAAATATTGTAAAGAACTGTTTTTTTTTAACTATAGATAATATTTGAATACTGTTTATAAAATATACATATAAAATAAATTGACAGTTATGATTGAACATCAATACTAAAACTTTTCCATCTGATGTCCAGCTACAAATTTTCAGCTAAAGAAAGTTCTTATGCCACTGACCTGCAGTGCTTACTCTGATGTATAACAGTGCATCCAGGATTAATCCTTGGTAACAATGAATCATAAAATGACTTTCCTTAGAGCTGCCACAAACTACAGCTTTGCTAGTGTTTTGCTCTTGCAAAGCTATAGTTTGTGATGGCTCTTACACTTTCTATTGAATAAGCATAAAGAATGCATTAAAAATCACCTCTTTTTATTTATGCTGTTGATTGCTAGAAAATCTACTGAGCATATACTTTTCAAAATTGCAACTGTGTTAATGACAATCTAGGCTAAACCATCTCTAATTAAGAATTTAGAATTTCTTCAATATAAATGAAACAATTTTCTTCTATAAATTATTCTATTAAGCTGGGTATCCACAAGGGCAGTTTTAAAGCACAATTTGAACTTTCAGCACTGCACATATGACCTTGGGGGTAAGTATCTAAATCATGCAGGTAAATGCATATTAGATGCTCTAGCTGAATGTACTATCATTTTACAAATCAGACAAATAAATTGACAATGAATAAAATGGTTTGATGTCATTTTCTACAAAATGGCTCAGTGGATAACTATAAATACATCAACTGAAAAATTAATAAGAGTTCACAATATTCCAGAAATTTTTGATAAAGGGATGAAAGTATAAAGATGAAAAATGATAAAAATAATTTTGATGTTTTGTTTTTTCTACAAAGAATAACCATGAGGAGTATTCAAATTTAAATTATAATTTAAAGTTCCCCTATAAATAACAAATAATACATAGAAGTTCTGCTTATCATGTGATACCTAGCATCATTTATGACCTTGAACTTGTCATTTAAAAATTTTGGTAGAAGTAATAGTCATGATGAAACAAAGAGAACAAGTTGAGAACTAATTGCATTCCTGTCACACAACATCAACAGCAGCAGAGTTGCAAATCAAATTGATGAGTTTATTTGTATGATCAGCAGATTACTGAAGAAACATTATCTCAATTTTGCAAATCAGTATTGAAATGTGCATGCTATCATCCAAGATCAACTTCAATATTATGTGGTGTTGAAAATTAGATCCCATAGATGTTAATTAACATTCACAGTCATANCAAGCAAAAAAAAAAAAAAAATGTCAACATGTTGTGCACGACATCCCCGGACGGCCAGTCGATTCCCAGACTGTCCGGATGGTATTCTGTGCTCATTTCAATCGGTCCGAATTGTAGGTGCACGAAAATATGAAATAAAATGGTTCAAATTCTTACAATATATTATTATTATTTATTGTGAAATTTTGCCGCCCCCTAAAAAGTGCCGCTTAGGGTGGGCCACCCCTGCCACACCCACTACACTACGCTACTGCTCTCTCTCTGTCGATGTTCCCCCTTGCCATTTATCATCGCGTCGCATTTGTTTTACAACGAGTAAGAAAGTTTTCTTTCTGCCTGGGTTTTGTCATTAACACGCCCTCTTGACCCAATTCAATCATTGAAACTCTGACTTAGGAGTTTCGTAATTAGTCGCAATTTCGACACGCTTTTACGACCCTCACAATTCTAAAATCTAAAGAAAACATGTTCTTATGTTTCTTCTTATTGAAAGTAATTCTTCCGATAATTTAGAAATTTTTTTTATAGCAATAAGAATAATAATAACTACAACATGATGAGCCCGGCATCGCCCAGGCAAAAAATAACAAAGGTTAAGATTATTAGATTATTTTGTACTTCTAATCTTTCTATTATATTATATTATAGCCAGTTGAGCAGCCCGATGCAGACATTGGTGCATACTAAATAGTTAGCATGCATAGCAATGATAAATAATTAATTGCATAGCTGACACTCGATACGCTGACAGAAACTGTCCATTTTTTCAGTAGCAGCAGTGTTGGTATAAATAATAAATTCCTATTACAGTACTAATAAAAATAAATAATATACTGAATTATACTGTAAAAATATAAAATAAATTAGTTTTTCACATTATTTAGTTCTGTTTTATTTATTGTTTTATATTTTTAGTGTGCTCTTTTTTTTTGTGGGAGAGGGGGAGGCCCAGTAAGAAGAAAATGTCCCAAAGTGGGTTAATCTGGCCCTGAGTGCCCTATGTATAAATGAAGTGCAATAGAGACAATTGTGAGGATCCATAGACTTATTTTATTCTTTTAGTAGTAAAGACATAATAATACAGGAATCTGATAGCATTTACTTATTTTTATTTTCATATAAGTATAAAATCAGCCAACAACAAAATTTCAAATAAAGATACTGTAGTTTATTAAAATTAAAATATAAAATAGGAATAAACTAGATACTAAATAGTTATTGCGATGAAATATATTTTGAACTTAATTGTTCACACAAAAAACACTATTCTATGAATTTTGTAATACTTACTATTGTTGGAATCAATAATGTTTCCTGTTGGTTCAAGTGCAAATATGTGAATCCATTTAATCCATGTAAATACACTATTCTTCTATATTAAAGCTAAAGTCAGTAAGGAGTAACACAGGAGAATAAACCTCTGTTACTCCTTACTGTTAGTCTGTTACATTGGTCAAGATATGTTTTGAGCAATATCTTTCTTTTCAGCTATTCTTGCTGTCTGTCGTAGCCATTCTTCTTTGCCACCAGTACCAAAACTGAGACTTCTCTTTGCTCTTTTTCCTCACAATCATCCTTCTTACCCCTGGATAGTTTTGGACAATGAGAACTGGATGACTTGTCCATTTGAGAATTTTTAACCGGAACAAAGAGCACTGTCTCAAACAGATTTCATACTATATATACACATATCACATTATAACACAGCTAAATACAAATTATATATATATATATCATAAGACTAACAGCACAAAACCTTTCTCACTAATTTCTAGCCTTATTAACTGGAGTACAAACGTTTTCGGCCTTCTTAATAGGCCTTCCTCGGGTACACTGTGGAGCGTCGGTTAGAAGAAGTTTAAATGCTTCTAACTTCTTCTAACCGACGCTCCACAGTGTACCCGAGGAAGGCCTATTAAGAAGGCCGAAAACGTTTGTACTCCAGTTAATAAGGCTAGAAATTAGTGAGAAAGGTTTTGTGCTGTTAGTCTTAGAAATAGTTCTAGCTACATATGCATAGTAATATATATCATAATTACAAAAAATAAGCTCTGTTATAATATAATAAAATATCAATAAATTGCTGTTATAATTGATATGATACAAAAAATAAGTAAATTCACATAAAACTTGTGTGTGTTAAATTGTAAAAATGAATATTTATTAATGTCTGCAGGAAACTGCTTCAACTATATCTAGAAGATTACAGGATGCCAAAGCAGCAGAAGAGAATGCTCTGGAGAAAAGAGAACAGTATCGTTGTGTTGCTTCTAGAGGTTCTATTCTATATTTGGTCATAAGCAGCATGTCAGAAATAGATACAATGTATCAATATTCTTTACAGGCTTTTAATTTCGTGAGTAATTTTTTTTTTTTTTTTTTTTTTTTCAGTTTCTAAATTTAAGTTTTCCTCTAATATAAAAATTATAAAATATAATTAAATTTAATAAATTGACTTTACTTTAATATTAGTACATACATCTGTAATGTATTTATGGAATGAAAAATGTCTGTAGAATGGAAAAATCAATACAGCAAACAGGAAAATAATTATAAACAAGTTTCTTCTGTAAACAATTACAAATGTGTACAATAGCTATTTTTAAAAACTTGCCTTAGTTAGAATAAAATCAATATTTATTAAATATCTTTCACAGCAGTAAAGTAGTAGAAACATCTTTTAAAGTTTGTTTTGATATAACCCATTTTGAATCAAACAAAATTCAAAAACTGACACTTATACTTTTTCAAGTGTTTGAAAGAGTATCTGTATCAGCAGTACAGTCAAACCTGGGTTTTCAAACTTAATTCATTCCTAAAAGTTGTTCAAAAACCAATTTGTTCTAAAACCAAAACAAATTTTCCCACAAGAAACCATATAAAATGGATTNCTATGAAATGCATTGTAAAATTGCTTTAATCATCATTATTAGAAAAGTCTAAAAATTTGTTGTTTAAGAGTGTTAATTTACACAATATAACCATGTTAAAAGAGTGAACTATGAACTATATAAAAAAGAGTGATAGAACAAATATACTATACTCAATATCACTATACTCATTTTATCTGTAATATGCCAGTGAAATAGATGAATTGAAAGTAATTCTCTAGTGCTTAAAATCACATAATCTTTGATATTATTATTAATTAAAGTAGAATTTTATATACTGCTAATAGAAAGTTTAAGTAAACATATAATTTAAGATATTAGATTCAGAATTGTTTCACAAGTGACTAAATATATATATATATTTTGTTTATTATAGTAGAAGTTCTCATCATTCTCTATCTTCAGTATACTTATAAATTAATGTTTATTGAACTGTTTTTTATGAATTTGCTTGCAGGTATTTTGTAACTGCATCAAAACCTGTGAAAATAATTCTGACATGGAAATGCATTTGCAAAGTCTCATGAAAAGAATTACAGAAGAAATATTTATGAAAGTGTCTCGGTAGGAATATTTAAAAATTAAAAAAAAAATACAATAGTAATTGGTTTTAATTTATAAAAATTTATTTTGTTTATTATTTAGTGGATTGTTTGAAGAACATAAACTTATATTTTCATTTATATTTACGACTGCTATTTTAAAAGAAATAGAAATACCTGAAAATGAATGGTGGTTTTTCCTTAGAGGAATAGGAAGAAAAATGAGAGTAAAATTATTTTCCCAACATTTCAAATAAAAGTAATACTTTACTAAAATATCACTTTTATCTAATTGTACTTTTTCATTAGGAATATCCTGAAAAACCAGCCAATCCTTCATGGCTTTCAGAATCAAATTGGCAAAGCTGTTATATTCTAGAAGAAGCGCTATCCTGTTTTGTCGGTTTGTCATCACTTTTCGTAAAATTTCCTCTCTTTATTACAATAGGATCACTGGAGGTAATTTTATTTAAAATAATTTATTTATCTTTATATTTTTAATATTTTTGTGAATTTATATATTTTAAAATGTAATTCCAATATATATTTTTTTATTTTTGGTGGTCTCCAGAACGAATTAATTAAATTCCCATTAAAACCTATGGTAAATTGATAATCGGTTAACGAACAATTCGGATAGCGAACAAAGTCTTGGAACGAATTATGTTCGTTAACCGATCACCCACTGTATATACATACTGTACATTAAAAGCGTAATGTTATGTCACCACCTACCGAAAATTGAAAAATAACACTTTACAAAGAAGTGCTACAAATAGAGACTCAACTCTGACTGCCTGTATGAAATATAACTAAATCAATCAAGACCTGACAACAAGTACTTTATTTACACTTTCTCACAAGAAAATACATCACACATCAAATGTATTTTTGAGAAGTGGTCAAAAAGTATTAATGATTATTTATCTTATAAATAATATATCTTAAACTGCTGTGAAATTTCTTGAAATAATTATCAATAAGATATTTTCTTTAGATTTTTGAAAATAACTTTTCATTTATAGCATTTAATTTAAAAGGAAACAAAAATTATACTATGAAATGCATTGTAAAATTGCTTTAATCATCATTATTAGAAAAGTCTAAAAATTTGTTGTTTAAGAGTGTTAATTTACACAATATAACCATGTTAAAAGAGTGAACTATGAACTATATAAAAAAGAGTGATAGAACAAATATACTATACTCAATATCACTATACTCATTTTATCTGTAATATGCCAGTGAAATAGATGAATTGAAAGTAATTCTCTAGTGCTTAAAATCACATAATCTTTGATATTATTATTAATTAAAGTAGAATTTTATATACTGCTAATAGAAAGTTTAAGTAAACATATAATTTAAGATATTAGATTCAGAATTGTTTCACAAGTGACTAAATATATATATATATTTTGTTTATTATAGTAGAAGTTCTCATCATTCTCTATCTTCAGTATACTTATAAATTAATGTTTATTGAACTGTTTTTTATGAATTTGCTTGCAGGTATTTTGTAACTGCATCAAAACCTGTGAAAATAATTCTGACATGGAAATGCATTTGCAAAGTCTCATGAAAAGAATTACAGAAGAAATATTTATGAAAGTGTCTCGGTAGGAATATTTAAAAATTAAAAAAAAAATACAATAGTAATTGGTTTTAATTTATAAAAATTTATTTTGTTTATTATTTAGTGGATTGTTTGAAGAACATAAACTTATATTTTCATTTATATTTACGACTGCTATTTTAAAAGAAATAGAAATACCTGAAAATGAATGGTGGTTTTTCCTTAGAGGAATAGGAAGAAAAATGAGAGTAAAATTATTTTCCCAACATTTCAAATAAAAGTAATACTTTACTAAAATATCACTTTTATCTAATTGTACTTTTTCATTAGGAATATCCTGAAAAACCAGCCAATCCTTCATGGCTTTCAGAATCAAATTGGCAAAGCTGTTATATTCTAGAAGAAGCGCTATCCTGTTTTGTCGGTTTGTCATCACTTTTCGTAAAATTTCCTCTCTTTATTACAATAGGATCACTGGAGGTAATTTTATTTAAAATAATTTATTTATCTTATATTAATCTTAATGCATACATAAAAAATAACATCATAATTATTAATTGTTTCAAAAGTTAAAATTTGGATTTACCTCTGATGCATGATGAATGCCAAATGTTAAGTAATATACTGTACATATGACAAGAGAACAGAAAATTTTGCATCTGTTAATAATTAATCAAATATACTGTATATTTATTATATAAAATTATAAGATCTTGACTACCAAACTAAAAAGTACTATAAATAAAATATTTTTTTTTCATGAGAACTTACTTTAAAAGTTAAGCAAATATTATTATGAATACAAAATTAACTATGATTTGTGAAGGAAAGAATCGTACTTTTATTTTTTTTCCTCTCTATTTAATTAGTATTATTATTTGGTTTTTGGCACATTAAGGACTTTACATTCTTCTTGCACTGGGACTCTAAGGGGAAAAAAGAGATAGTGAACTTACTGTTGATTATTGGTTACACCACATCTTCACCCATGATTGAATAATTCACTTAATAGCTGTCACATTAAGTAGTTCTATCCAAATTTACTGTGATGCCACTCTACTTCGTGGTACAAGTAGATGGCTGATCATGAAGCCAAAGAAGAGTAGTAGTATTATTGTTGGACTAAAAAGTAGGTTGGTATTGGTATCACCTGTGCAACAACACTTTTTTATTTCTTTCTTCAAATGATCATTGTACTCTCAGACAGAAAGGCATGTTTAAGACAAATATGGTGAGCTTGTAGGACTTGGAATTTGCTAGTTGTCAAAATATTCTCCCAAGTACTGATGGGTTCGTATTGCAGGTATATCTTTTAGGCAGGAAACAGCTAAATGGTGGAGCAATGAATAAACAAAAGCATAGGTTCCATCCTGTTCAAATTTTACAATTATCATCAGTGGTGTAGCATGGGTGTCAGCCGTCCCCTTATTTAGGTATCTCAATTTAAAAGACTAAAATTCAGTTTCGTCACAGAATAAGTAATGAAAAATTCCATGCTAGTGTTGCCACCTTTTTAAAATCACTGACCTGGACGATAGATGAGGTTTGTTTGAACAGACGTTCCTGACGCATGCGTAATGTCATTTTGCAATACGAAGAATAATGTGCAGTGCATGCCGGTTCTAAATCAGTTACAATTAGCGACTAGGGAGACTTGGGTAGGAGTAACGTAAGTAACCTAGATGACTTAGCTCTATTGGATGTTGGAGATGTGTTTGAATATGAATCATACAAGCAAAATAAGGTTGACAGGTTGCGCACGATATTCCCGGACAAAATTAATAGTTCACCCGGATAGTGAGTTGATTCCCGACTGTCCAGGTGAAAACCAGACAGGTGGTAACACTATTCCATGCTCATTTCAATTGGTACAAATCGTAGGTGTGACAAAAATATGAAGTAAAATGGTTCAAATTTTTACAAGATATTATTATTATTTATTGTGAAATTTTGCCGCCCCACTACGCTACGCCACTGATTATCATCTGTTTATCAGGCTAAAAATCTTAGAAAATTCTCATCACAAAGAACTCTTCCTTCTAAATAAAAAATATTTCATTATTTAATACTTATTTAACAGCTTCTTATGATAACCAAATGTTTTATTTTATTTGAAAAAACATTCCTAGTCCTAATCAGACCATTTTCAGTTTCTTTTGTGACTTGTATAAACTACTTTATAATCCATAATGTATCAGAAAGAAGTGATTCAAAACAAACTTTATAGAATATTTGTTGATTATAAAGGAATGGTGCAACAAAATAAGCAAAAATTTTTAACTTCATTGATATTTTAAAACAAAATAGCAGCAGTTTGTATTGATAATGTTGATTATCTGCATAGGAAGGGACAAATTTTATTTCTGATATTAAGATAAAAGATTTTAAAAAGTTAGTTGAATAAGTTCTCACTCATATCAGTTTCCTTGCTATATTTCAATGTAAATTATTATTAATTTTTCTAATGATGGAATGATGAGGCAAATTTTCTTGAAAAAATAAATTTAAATTAAATTATATATATTAACAATAATATGAATGATTATTTTAGAAATACAGTGGTACCTCAGTATACGTCTGCTTTAGAATACGTCCAATTCAGAATACGTCCTGTTTGGACGAAACAAACTTTGCTCGGTATACAACTTTTGTTCGGTATAAGACTTAATTTAATTATATGTGCCACCTATGAACAAGTAGCACTATCGGTGTACTAGACCAGACTAGACGTTCGCGGTGCCACAGTTTATAACTTTGTTAAATTTCTTCTGATTTTAATTTGTAAATAAAATTTTCTTATTTTTATTAATCATGGATTGCAAAAAGGCAAATGAAAAGCAACAGAAAACTAAAAAAAAAATTACTAGAATTACAATGGAACTGATAAAAGAGATTGTTGAGAAACATGAATGTGGCATGCGTGTTCGAGATTTCAATTGCTGCATACCGTATTCCGAGAACGACAATATCGACAATCGCAAAAAATAAAGACATTATTAAATCTGCTAACGTTGCGAAAGGAGTTAAATCAATTTCTAAACAGATCAAAAACATTAGATCATATTGAGAAATCACTTTTGCTTTGGATAACTGAAAAACAGTGTGCTGGCGACAGTGTATCGGAAGCAATTATTTGCGAGAAAGCTAAAAAGATACATGCTGATCTCATGAAAAATCAAGCAGGAACTAGCCAGGAAAGCGAGGTGTTTAAAGTCAGCCATTTTTTTTCATGAGAACGGATTAATCATTTTTACATTACTTCTTATGGGAAAGGTTGGTTTGGTATACGTCCTATTCGGTATAAGTCCAAATATTAGGAACGGATTAAGGTCATATACTGAGGTTCCACTGTATGTGATAAAAATTATGAAATAGATTTACACACACATTCACACACATTGGATGGAAGATAAGCAATACTTTTTTTTTTTTTTTTTTTTTTTTATGGTATAACTTTTAATTTATGAAGCAACATTTTATAGTTTATTTTGACATTGTTTTTATTATTTTTTCTTTAATTCTATATCAAAGAAAGCATCTTATGATGAAAAGTTCTGTTTTGATGTTTTGATTTTGAAATTACTACTATTTCTCACATTTTTCAAAGAGAAATTTGGTGCTATTTCAAAATGTTACAACTGTTTTAATTAATCATTGTAACCTCAGTTAACTTTCAAATTAATAAGCATAAAAAAAATCTTTAGTTTAGATCATATTAGATAACAAAATATAAATTAAAACAATAAAACAGAATGATACGGCTAATTCGTTTTACATGTAATCATTTAACTCTTAGAAAATAACAACAGGAAAGCTGTAGGGAATTATATTCATAAGTTGAATAGCAGTTACATAAACCATTTGCATTCTTGGAATAAGGAAAGATGGTAGCAAGAAGTCAAAATTGCAAGTTGAGTCAAAACAATCAATTCGCAGTCTCCTGAAAGTTAAAAATATTAAATGAAATAATCTGATTTGCACTCTAAGAATTAATATTTGTAACTGGAGTAACAATAATATCAAAAACAGAATTTTGATTTTTTTAAAGACAATAAAATGATGTATTTTTTAATTTGATTTTAAGTTGAGTACAGAAGATTATTTTTAAAGCATATAGGTATGATAATATTTGAATATTTTTCAAATTAAAATCATAGAAACTGATTAAAAATTTTAAATTCATAAATTTATTTAGTTACCAATCATTTAAATGTATAATGCAATGTATATTGATAAATTGTTAACTAAAATCTAAAATTTCAATACACAAGAATCCCAAATAGCAATTGTAATTTAATTAAGAAAAATTTCTGTGTTTTTACTAATTTTGAATCATTATTTTAGGAAATAATAAATTTACAAAATAATATAGTTTGGTATATGTATAAGGTAGGATCCAAAACTTTGGGAACTTGGAATATAATTCCTTGCCTCAAATATTATATAAATCACTGATGCACAACAACTATCTTCAAAATAACTCTCTTGGGTAATATACTTTTGTCAGCACTTGTACAACTTCTGGAAACATTGCTTTCTGGTGGCTTTTTTTCTTTGCCCATAATAACCACCCATAATGACTTCTAAAATGTTGCTTTTACTTCATTTGTTGACTCAAATGATATTTTTGAAGATGTTTTGAGTGGAGCAATATCTGAGGTAATGTCATTTTATATCAAATGAGGTAAAAGCATCGTTGCAGGAGGTAGTAGTAGTAGTTGCAAAAGACTACTTACAGCAATGCTTCCAGAATCTGTATGAATGCTGGTAAAAATGTATCATTACCTAAGAGGAATTATTTTGAAGATGGTTGTACTCCTGTATTTTAAACTATTTAAGATAGTGTTTTTTAACTGCTGGTCCACGAAAAATTTTTACCAGTCTGCAAAAAAATATTTGATTGTACTGATACTGGCACAATTGATTGACATTTAAACAGTAATCTAGAGTTACAATGCATATATTGTTACATAGAATAACTCTAGATAAGCATATACAGTATAATCATAATACATAGTCACATATAATTACTGTCCACATAATATTTTCCATAATTTTACCAGACCATGATGAGAAAAAGGTTGAGAAACACTGATTTAAGACAAGAAACTATGTGTCAAGTCCCTAAAATCCTATCTTGGAGATTTTGGATTCTATCTTGTAGATTTATTTTTGTAATATTCTTTTTTAATTGAGAGAGAAAATTATAAATAAAAACTTTCATTCAAATAGTTTTGTTAATTAATATAAAATATATTCTTACAGGTTCAATTAAATCCTGATTGCCCTTCGGTGAAGACTTATCTTCTTGATAAAGCAGGATTTAATGAAAAATTCACTGATTTCCAGAAGCTTATTCTTATAAAGATGTTTCAAGAAGATAAAGTAAATATTTTACAAACTTCATAATAATTTGCTATAATCAAATTATACAACTACAAAAGAAAAAAGTCAATTAATATTTAATTTTTTGCTATATAAAGATACCTGCTTTTTGGGAAAAAATTTTTAATTTTAATTTAACGATTTTGAGTACTCTTGCATGAATCTTTAAGATCATTGCTCTAATTACAGATTTGAGAATGCTAAAAGTAGAACATTCAATATTTTGTGCTATAAAGTAGATTTTCACATACCGTATTTACTCGCATATAAGACAACCTGGCATATAGGACGAGGTGTGACTTTAAAGATCAAAATAAAGAAAATTAAATTTATTAATTCAATTCTAATTTTATTTCATTTAATCACAAGTAAAATATCATAAATGCACACATTATCCTGCAAAAATTACTGGCATTTTAAACTTTAAGGAAAAATCTTGTAAAATCAACAACAATAATTTGTTCATGTAATGCTGGACAATGGGGAACCTTTTCTGCCAATTCTTAACAGTCAAATCCACTCTCCATTGATTACACTTACAAGTTTCTCTGAATTCTGATTTCTGGATAATCATCTGTTTTCATGTGGGAATGGATTAAAACTTATATCAGGCTCCCATGTGATTTTGAAATTTCAATCTGGAATTCAATTCAAAAGCTTTGTTTTTCCTATTGCTATTCATCTTTACTCCTGACACTATACAAGAACAATTCAAATAACCCAGATAAAATACTTATGTTTTTAAATACAAGAGGGTAAGCATCCAGTAGAAAAATGTGAATNTAAATGCACACATTATCCTGCAAAAATTACTGGCATTTTAAACTTTAAGGAAAAATCTTGTAAAATTGACAACAACAATTTGTTCATGTAATGATGGACAATGGGGAACCTTTTCTGCCAATTCTTAACAGTCGAGTCCACTCTCCATTGATTACACTTAAAAGTTTCTCTGAATTCTGATTTCTGGATAATCATCTGTTTTCATGTGGGAATGGATTAAAACTTATATCAGGCTCCCATGGGATTTTGGAATTTCAATCTGAATTCAATTCAAAAGCTTTGTTTTTCCTATTGCTATTCATCTTTACTCCTGACACTATACAAGAACAATTCAAATAACCCAGATAAAATACTTATGTTTTTAAATACAAGAGGGTAAGCATCCAGTAGAAAAATGTGAGTACATGATTCACAAAAATTATTTGCAAAAATGCAAAGAATCTTTTGCTCATGCATATAGGATGACCTAGGAATTTGAAGCTGCGATAAATGAATAAAAACCTCATCTTATATGCAAGTAAATATGGTAAATAGTTGAAAATAAAGTAGCAGTGATAACTGATTACTTAAATGTGTACGTTATAAGAAAATATCAGTATCACCACAAAGCAAATGTTTGATGTGATCATGTAAAAGCAGAAAACTTTACATATGCTGATGATGATGATGGTATGATTATTTGTAATATTCACTCACAAATAATTAAACTAATCCTTTATTCTTAAAAAACACCATGTAGACTCGACACTTACAATCAGGCCATGTTTCAGATGAAACATGCCAATATGCCATACCAGCAGATGGCATAAAAAGTATCAATAGTTTGTATTTAATACCAGCAGTCACTCAGTAAGAAAAATTCTATGCATTTGGCAAGAAGGCAGGTGACCATCATGATAAAAACAAATTAACAAGACCAGACTAGTCTATTGGCCACAACAAATGCCATGGATCAATTGGAGCCAAAATAAAAGTAAACAGGATGGGAACTACCCTTCTGTCAGAGGCCATCTTTCAAAGAATGGACAATATTGTTCAGTAATTTTTTGTTCCTGCTACATGCTGCATATCTTATTTCTTGACAAGAAGTGCTAATAATAATAATTTAAAAAAGGAAAGGTGTGTAGTTACTAAAAACAGTGCAGACAAAGATATACAAAATATTTTGAAAATACTGTAAATACTACATTCATTTCATTTCATTCATAAGGTTTATTTAACATAAAAATTTACATGGCCTGATTTCGCAAAGGCATGATCAGGCTTTGAGAACAGGAATACAATACAATAAAATAGAGTACAGTAAGATACAATATAAAATGCCATACTAAAATAAAATACAAAATAAGATACAATAATAAAATACAATACATATGTTACAATAGATGGTTAAGTGACAATTCTAATAGAGACAAAAGTTTTGATTACCAGGCTGAAACTTCAGTTTTTACAAAAGAGCCTGACAAATTTATACATTGCTTACATAATTTAATCGTGCTGACAATAGAAAGTACTCAATTAATTGGAGTAACTTGAAAATACTTATTAATGAGTTGAAGAAACATATCATGGGTTTCTTTATCATCAATCACTGTAAATAATACTACAAGATAAATGTGTACCTTTAGAAAGAAAATATATATAATTAGTAGTATTAAACACTGTTTTTAGTTATTGTTACATTTTTCCTACTGCCAGTGCACTTATATGGTGATCAAAAATAATTTTTTAGAAAAAGAGCAGCATTTATTGCAAAAATAACTTAACAGTTTTTTTTAATCCTCTCTCTGTCTCACATTGTAATTCATCATTCAAAAGTTCTGAAAATGTTGCCATCTATATTGTCAGTCAATGATAAGAATGGGTGTTAGCCACACATGCTTGATTACACATTATTCATTAAAATAGAGAAGACGAAATCTAGAACAAAATGCAAAACCTAATAAAGATGCATATTGGTAAACCCTACAAAAATGAGAAGATAACACTTTTCCTTAGATCAGTTTTAACTCTATATTTAATTTTTGAGAGAGAAATAGAGTTCAGACAATATTTTCATTTGGAAGCAACAATTAAGGATCTTTTTTATGTGATTTTAGAATAGAGATGTAAATTTAAATTACTAGATATTATTGGTATTTTCATGGTTCTTTAGTGTTACAAAATATGTATAGATTGCAGGACCAGTTTTGCCATTAGGCAATCTAGGCATTCCTGCAGGGAAACACAGTTTGTCATTGACTATAGTTACATGAACATGAAACATAGAGAAACTTGGAAACCCAAAGTCTTCTTTCCAACTGTCTGGTGGTGACCTTTGGGGAATACAACACGCACTAATTATTTGAACGATTCACATTATCTGTAAATATTAGTTAAATTTATAGATTACAAAATCAAATACTGTGACATTGTCTATTTTATTAGCCTTTATTTTTTCTGTAATTAACATATATGAGATAGTTAACAAAATATTTTAACTTAACAATAATTTACAATATATTTGGTCAGAAGTGAATAAATATTGGAATATGAGTTATGTTTCTATATTTCAAAACTACAAATTTTAATAACTTTCTTTAGAAAATAAATATAAAACTTAAACAATATAAGAAAAAAAAAAATGTTTTTTTTTAATCTTAAAAATTCATAAGTGAACAAAACAACTGGAATCTTTATAAAACTTTTGTCATTACGTTTTATACTTGAATTACATATTGTATTAGTTTTTAAAAATTTCTGTAAAACTTCAGCTTGTGGCCACCCCTGAAATACCCCTGTAAAGCTGCATAAGTTTTAATGTAAATTAAACTCTACATTGATGGCCTCCTCATTTAAGTGGCCAAGTTAGGAATGTTGTAAAATGACATTCTCCTTTTATGCGACCAACATAATGGGAAAATCCCAGTTCCTAAACTTCACGTATGGTTTAAAGTGCTTTAAATGGAATTGAGTGTCATCGATACAATTGGTATAGTTTGCAAAGATTTTTATTTTATGCTTGACAAATTAAATTTATCTTCAGAATATGCAAGAAGTAGTGTTGCCACCAGGCCAGTTTTCAAATTCATGGTTCGGATTAATTATTAATTTATCCGGTTTTTGTAGAAATTTGTGAAATTATGATAAAACAAAATAAATTTATAAAAATATTTGCAAGTATTTTATTTTAATGGTTAACAATTAACTTCATACCCCAACCAAACTTATTCTCATCTTATCCCTAGGCTAAGAGCAGGGGAGGATCTAGGTTTTTTTGGGGCTAGGGTTTATTGAAGTCCAATGGTGCCCCATGTTTTGTTAATACAAATAATACTATAAATTGTCATTATTATTATATTATTAATATTAACTATTTTAACTATATAATACATGGTCATTGTTAATGAAAAAGTATTAAAAATTTATGATAATAATTCAATTTTTGTGGGCCCTTGACATATGGGGGGCCAGAGCTTAAGCCCTATGTAGATCAGTCACTCTTCTGTCACTATTTCACTACTTCTACTTCTGTCACTCTTAGCCAGGGGCATCTGCCCCTGCTAAGAGTGACAGAAAATGTACTTTTAAAAATCAACTTGCAAATATTAGGTTTTTTCCAACACAAGTCTCTAACTGGTTTAAAACTTGCATGTGCATTGTTTAGTTCTTGGCTGTAAAATGACATTGTGCATGCCTCGTATTTATATTATATATTGTATCAGATACAATGTAGGTTTGTAACTTAATATTATTAATGTTGGCATGTTGTTATTTATTATTCTTACTTTTATGTATTATTTTTGCAATTAATATCAATATCAGACTGTCATTAATTATTTTTGAATATGCCACATGTGATTATTGTATTACTTTAATAATATCTTATATACATGTTTACCTTCTAATAAAAAAAATATTTATTTTCTACTCACAATAAAAAACCTAATTTTTTTATTTCCAAGTATAACATCCTAATTTTAAAATGTCCAGGTCAGCAATTTTGAAAAGGTGGCAACACTAATAACAAGAAAGAATTATATAAGGGTTATCCAAATGAAAAGTGTAAATGTCAGAACTGGCAAACATTTATTGCAAATCTAAAAGAAATTTCCTTGTTTGTTTAGGCAAAGATCCCAGCATCTTACAAGCAGAGATATCCCACATGTAGAATTCTGGTGGTTGCTGGTAAAAAAATTCTTCAATTCTATCCTTCACCTCACCATCTAACAGTAATC